GAAATGCACGCTTCAAACAAAACAGTCAATGAAGACGAAGAAGAGAATGATGTGTGCTCCCGGCGCCTATTTATACTATAGTCGCACCGGTAGTGACGTCATGGCTGTCGCCGGCCAACGAGTTGGTGTTTTTTCAATGTATGCTCCAGACATGGGTCACGACGAGGCGTTCTCCATAGCGACCCCTAGAGGACGCAGTTCGAAGTTCCCATGAAAGGGAATCACAACCATATCAGACTGAAAAAAAAGTTCAAATTATATCATCTGATCTCAGATATGTTTTCTAGCAGTTAGATATACACTGACAGCATTGTGATTATCCATCTCTGTGAAACTACAGACATATCTATTGTGGCTTTGTTCCATGTATACAAAGTTCTGTCATGGAACTCTAGATGGCACAGGCTGATAGGTTCTAACTTAATCTGATATAATCACATAATTATTCACATGGTGCAGCTGATTAGTTTCTTTTGCATCAGCAGCCAATGAGCTGCTGCTCAGCATTCAAATACTTGGCTAGTGCTTGCTCTAACAGTTGCAGCGCGCTTCAGAAACCCTCCACCTTCCCCAGCTCCACCTGCATACAGTAGATCTACTACGGGGTGATCTCATGTATGTCATATACAGTGGTGGAAAGAGTACTGAACATTTTTACTTAAGTACAAGTACTGTTACATTGCTGAAATAATACTCAATTACAAGTAAAAGTACTGGTGTCAAAACAGTACTTAAGTAAAAGTACAAAGTACTCCTCTCAAAAACTACTCAGAGTACTAGTTACTTTTTAGCCGGCCATATTTAATGAATTACCAAAAAATATTCATATCAATGTGGATAGTAGCTACTTTGAACAAAATCCACTTTTATCTTATTGACAATGTACGTGAATTAGTGGTCATGATACAGGAATTTCTAACTTCAATACCTTGAAAAATTTCAGTATCAAAGTACTCGTGAACCGGAAGTTGCAACTGACTTCAGTGTTGTGATGTATTTCCAAGTGAAACGGGATATTGAATAAAGGGCGGGGTTTTATTGTGGTGCACCTTCACTCCACCTCTTGCTAATAGCAGATTCACAGTTGGATAGTGGTTAAGAATATCTGCTTGTTACGTCTGACATCATACTTCACCGCTTATGGGTCCTAACGCTCTGCCAGACGCCCCAAGAAAACAACAAACTGTGCTAATATACACAATGTCATGTAATACTGAAAAATTATAACCCTAACCTTTATCTCCTTACTGAAATCTCAGATGGCCTGACAGTGATTCAGCTAAAATATTAGTGTCTGAGACACTGTGAGCACGGAGACTGTAGTGT